ATACGGCTTCTGGCCTTAATTAGGCCCCATGCAACTGACACACTACAATCAGTGTCATACTGATAGGATGGTAATGGCATTGCTATAAACAATATGGTGTAAAATACCTTGTTTAAATGTTGTGTGAAACCTTATATTTTCATATATTGACCAACATAGATGTGTATATATATATCATCTTTTTTTTCTCCATATATATGTACTTTTTATTATTATTATTACCTTAAAATATTGTGCCATTTATCTTCCTTTAAAAAAAATATATATATATATATATATATATAATCTAATAAGGTTCTTTCAGTCTGTGAGTCTCTGTGTTCGTTGGTATTTCCACAGGCAGGCGTGTGCTGTGGAATACCAGTAATCTCAATTAAAGGGTTTACCTGACAAGGGCACTTAAGCATATCTGGCATTTATAGACAGCTACTGCATTAACACCATTCTGATTACTATTACTTTACAGCTCCCGTGTTTATACAGAATAAATCTGACCAATATAGGGGATATTAGGGGGCAGTAAGTATATTGTAAATGAACGTTTATGGTAAAACTGCCCCATAAACACGTGGCTATATAAGCTAGTATGAGCACTGCAGAGGCAATTGTTTTTTATTGAAGGTGGTAAGAGTTATTTGCTCTGTTTGGTTCATTTTTATTTGCTTTAATTAATTGTCTCTTTACATAGATTATAATAATATTCCATTCTTTGATTGTCTGTAAACAGATTCCATTCTGATTATGGCACATCTGTCTTAAAAGTTAGAGTTTAAATTGATCCATGAGGACACTAGTAGTAACTGCTGTTGAGAGTAAATTTAGCACATAAATAGGCTGGTTTTGTTTAAAGTTAACTTATTTTATTTAGAAATCATTGTTTCCTGTACGCGTATGCGAGATCGTTTGGTTTTGGACGGCCATCTTGATATTTGAACAGTAAAGCTACAGTAATTGCCTTTGGCTGATAATCCAGTAGGCCTATTTATTTGGAGGTGTGCTGTATTTCAGCATGTTTCCATAAGCCGCTTTTAGGAATCCCCAATACTATCAGAGCATCAGACTCTCTCAACAAACATATCTCCGTTACTGTGGTGAGGACATTTTTAGAGCATTAACCCCCAATAAAATTTACAGCCTTGAGGAAGCTAAGAGCAAGTGTCCTGTTGTTTATACAAATTATTCTCTGTTTACCTGGGGAAAGAGACCACTGAAAGAGAAAAAGGCTTATCACAAATGTGTTTAAATTCATTTTCAAAAATATTTTTTCTAATCAACTTCCTTTGAATCCTAGAGCCAGCATCATCTCTACTTCATGCCAAGGACAAAATGATTGTCATGGTAGGAAATTATCACATTAACCACCATTACACCATTACACTGACCATGCCCCTAATGGTGCTGACCTGTGCATAAAGATGCCAGTGTTTCTGTGGCAAGACCAACCTCTTAGCGAGACTATGGGAGAGGTTGTAAAAGTAACAGTGCTAAGTACTAAACATACAGCAGATATGCACTCATCATCTGGGGCTTTCCTCTTGTCATGTCTTTAGTGTTTAGATGATAGGCAGATGAGTCTAAAATACTTTCCCTTGGAGACCAGAGCAAAAACAACCCCACCCACCAATTCCTGTCAGTTCCACCGTTGTTGTGTGGCACTGGCAGTGGGTTCCGTCTCAAGTTGAAGGTTACTCGTTTTGGAGATACTTCCTGGTGTTCAGGAGGGCACTGATATGGTTCTATCTCACTGATACCACCTGTGGTATTTAACACAAATGGAACTTAGAGCTGCTGAAGTTCAAAGGTCAGAACCATTGTCATTTACAATTTCCAGGCATCCAAACAAGACCTGACACACAACAGGAAATGCTTTGTCCTAACCAAGTGTCACTCCACATTGGGTTGTCAAGTCTGGGTAGAAACGAATAACAACCTTGCCTCAGAAATGTTCTTGATACATTATTATGCTTTCAAAAATATGTATGAGTTAGATTTCTCGCATATTTTAGATTTACACTTTATTTCCACATTTGTGTTCTTTCATCAGAAAGTATTGCTTATGGGTACCTTCATGTGTGTGTGTAAAATATAACTGTTTCAGATTTTTTATTCATACATTTTAGATGTGTAGGATTTAGTTTTTAGTTTTTTTGCAAAACGCTATATATTCATTGTTTAGACGGAATGGAATGTTTGTATCCTGTATATTTGACCTGGATATGTGGTTGTTTCGCCTAGCTATTTTAAGATTCATTCCCTTACTGTAAGTCGCTCTGGATAAGAGAATCTGCTAAATTACTAAAATGTCAAATGTAAATGTTTTACATAAAGATCTCATATTACTTTATAGAATTTTTATTTTTTACATTTGTTAAATATTGATGTCACAAATGTATAATTTGTACATTTCTTTATATAAAATGCAGTTATTTGTTATGTTTGACTGTGTAAAACCTAGAAGTACTACTTTTTTCTCTGAGAGTGAGGCAGATATATAGCATTTAGTAAAAAAATCATAATAAAACATAGCGTCATTATTTGTCCCTATGAAATGAAATTATCAAGCGACAGATTTTAAACAAATACATGTCGCTCATTGAACAATCTCATGCCATGATTAGATAGTGAAAAAACACACCAATCGCTTTCATAATTTATTTAAACAATAAAAGCTCATTTACCAATATTTCTGAAAATGGATATCCTCCTGAGACCTGAAAAAATAGTTTGGGATTCTTATATATATTTTTACAGTGTTTTCGGTTGGAAGAAAACATGTTGACAATAAAAAAAAATCTGCATTTCTTTTGTTATTTCTTTTTTATTGCAAGTGCCAAATTGTCCTCTCTAGTGGTCAATAGGACGTAAATATGAAAAAATGACATTACAGTCAATGGGTACAGTAGGTGAAAAACATTTACATTACAGTCAATGGGTACAGTAGGTGAAAAACATTAAGATTACAGTCAATGGGTACAGTAGGTGAAAAAACATTAACATTACAGTCAATGGGTACAGTAGGTGAAAAACATTAACATTACAGTCAATGGGTACAGTAGGTAAAAAACATAGTTGTGGCATCCAGGTATCCACTACAGAGGACATTTCTTGATAAGCTCTTATTTAATGTGAAAAAACGATTACACAGTTCTGACAACTCACTTAACTATTCCTTAGATATTTACATACTAGAAACAATTTGAACATCAAACTCACAAAAAATGATAATAATTGCACACACTTATTTTAAAATGTCCATAAAATGTGCACATTTTGACGACAGACATTTATATAAGAACCAGGAAGACGAAGTTGTCAAGGTCACGCCCCCACACATGTGATATCATTGTAAAGCCCAGAATGTCCTCTCCAACGGGCAAAAACACTTAATACAGTGGCTTTTAAGGCCTCAGAAATACCGACCAAGAACTGATGTCCACTAGAGAGGACAAAAATGTTGCTGGGTCTCAGGAGGCATAGCGTTTTGGAATGAAACTCTTCAAATCGCCCTCTGTCAGTCTTACAAACTACACTTTGGTTTGGGCCTTATCATTCAAATAGGCCTTTCTTATCTGTGTGTGGGTGTGTGAGGGGGGACTAAATCATGCTTACTCCATGTTTAATGACACTGTAAAGATAGTTTCTAATATTGTCTGCTAACATAGGACTCCAAATGGGACAGTATTGGCTCTACCTGCACAGTTTACAGGGTCCCAGAATCTCACCACCCTCCGTGCTCCTTCCTGTTCACAGAATATCACCCAATGGCCTACTCCTCCCTGGCCTTGGGTCAGGAGATGTTCCCCAGCAGATGGATCCTCCTGCTCTGTTTACTCACCGCCTCTCTCACCTTGCCCTTTGGACGCCACGCCCTGCCTTTGGTAACTAGATTGGCAAATAGGTCTGTGCGTGCGATGCAACAGGGCAGATACCACAGGCCTCCTCAGAGTGCGACTATATCCTCCTGAAGCCAATCGCGCTTATCATGCAACTCAGTTTTACTGTGCAAACAGTCATGGCTCCTTGGTGAGTTGTCACTGGCCCTGCCGGTCTCGTTTTCACTTTGACCATTGACTGTATCACTTTTTTATGACATGATACCTCTCCTTTAACCTGCTGATGTTCGCACAAAGACCCACACAATAATGATACAAAATGATACATTGTAAATCTATAAAGTCACAACACAAACCCCAAACACAATGACTACTTACATAGTTTCCTTCAACTTTCTCAAATTAGATTGATTCAGAGATTAAGTGTAATCTGAAATCATATTTCTTCAATGATGTTTATCCCAGTCATTTCCATTTGAAATGCTTTGTTGTCATTTGAGTGCCTCAAAAAAGCATGCGTGCAGTGAGCTTATGGCCACATTTACGTAGCCTTGTAAGACATTGAAGTATGATTTCACATTGTAGACACTTGAAATGATGTAATCTTAAGTGTGTGACAGATAGTCATATTGTAAACGTGTGCTCCAAATCTCTTCCATTTTCCTACTATAAAGAATGAGCTCCAGAGTTTACAATAAAGCTTTTAATACAAATTACTTAGAAAATATACACTTATTATTATTCTTGCTTGGAATCAGAACCATTTACAAGTATTTCCAGTATGTGATGAGCAGAGCAGAAGAGGCATCAACAGTAGAAACAGTAGAAGCCATTATAACAGTAAAAGACAACAGTTTAATATCTATATATATTTATATATTTTCTCTTTCTCTGTTCTTTGTCTCTCTTTCTGACAAGACAGACCAACACGAACGTGTGCAGAGCGGGTGGCTGTCCTATCGCCTCATTTTCCGTTTATTTCCCGATTATTCTACATATTGAATCACCACAGTTTGTCGACACCCGGCAGGTGATCTACTGTGCACGGCCGACGTTTGTGTTGGTCTATCTTGTCCTTTAGAAGTTTCTTCATCTTATTATTTTTTACAAAAGCGAAGGAAACAGCAGCAAGTCTTTACTTCTTGTCTGTCTTTGGAGGTGTTGACTCCTGCATTTGACCCCATGTTGCTCAAGCTGTTTACTCCTGCATTTGACCCCATGTTGCTCAAGCTGTTGACTGGGGGAGCTATTGCAGGTTAGATTTGGACAAAAGTATTTTTTTTTTCACGTCAGACCGTCGTCCTCAGTATTCTTCCTTGATAGTCATTGGTATGGACGGAGACACTAAGCCGCCACTGCTGCTGGTCACCATGGCAACATTGCCAGGCATGCCAGAGCCTGGGGGAGTAGGGGTTGTTGTGGACGCAGGCTGAGGCTGTTGCATCTTCTTCTTGTTCACTTTCCTCTCTTTGGCACGCCGATTCTGAAACCAGATTTTCACCTATGGAATAAATAAAATATTTTAGATAAGTGCTCTGTGGCTGGTCTAGTAAACTAAAGGTGTGAGTGTGAGTGTGTGTGTGTGAGAGAGAGAGAGAGAGAGAGAGAGAGAGAGAGAGAGAGAGAGAGAGAGAGAGAGACAAAGAGAGAGAGATACAAAGAGAGAGAGAGACAAAGAGAGAGAGAGAGAAAGAGAGAGAGACAGAAAATTGAGAGATGGTCCCCTGTCCCATGATGTTGTGTCTGACCTGTCGTTCTGAGAGGCTGAGAGAAGTGGCCAGCTCTGCTTTCCTCCTGATGGTGATGTAGCGGCTGTAGTGGAACTCCTTCTCCAGCTCCAACCGCTGGTGATCTGTGTACACCACCCGGTACTTGTCTTTCGTTCTTGTCTTACCACCTGCAACAGAGTTGGAGTATGGACATCAGTCAACTTTTATATTGTGTGTGTAATGTAGAAAAACAACGTATATTTTGACTAACTTTAATCCTTAAGAGTCAATCTAAGTAACATAATATAAAAAATCCCCATAAAATCCTTCAATTTCAGCTAGAGATATGCATGGGCTGTGTCTCAATCCACCACATCCAAATCGGTTTTCTCATGAAAATGTGTGTAACGTCCAAACGGTTTGGCCTAAAAACGAATATGACCATAAGATGAGACTCTCACGAACACGATGTGTCACGGGACTCATCTGAAGGTAACCCATACAAATGAATAGAAGTATGGAGGTAGTTTTGTGCCAACAAAAATAAGGGGTTAAATATGTGTAAAAAATATATATATTTCCTGAGCTTTCTTATATCTCATAGATATAGGACAGACACTTCAAACCTTATTCCTTATGATTAATGAATGTGTTAGTCCAGTGGTTACCAACCTTTTTTGGTTACTGTACCACCAACTTAATTTTGCTTTGCCCGGAGTACCCTTGAAGTACCCCCTCATGTGCATTTTAGAGGTAGGCCTATGGTCTCATGAGTCTTCTCAAGTACCCCATGAGGATCGGCCAAGTTGGGAACCACTGTGTTAGTCAATGCGTTTCTATAGGCTTTAGTAGTAAAGGCCAAATTAAATATCTTATCAAATCATTAAAAAAAAAAAATTATATACATACAGGGGTCCTAAAATTCTAAATCAAATAGCTAACTGATCCATAGTATGGCCATCTTTAAACAATTCTAAATGTTAGCTTAGTAGAACCCCCCCCCCCCCCCCCCCGTACAAACTAGCTGAACAGATGTGATTCTCAGTAGGACTCCTTCTCATGAGGAGACAGGGCTTGAGCTGCATTGGTTATAATGGGAGGATGGCTGGGCTACTGCTGCGGACAGATTTCACATTAACTTACATGCCGTAAATAAACAATATTATAGGAGTAAATAAAGATGAGACAGACATCTGTGAAAATGTGGTTTCTGCTTCATTTCATACATGAAACCTCTCACTAAAACACACACAGATAAACTAGCAAAGCCCTGGGATCAGCTAGTCTTTTTAATTAGGTACCGTAAATCAAAAGTCACTTAATTCTGTCCATATTGAATGAGGCACCTAAGTGCAGATGCAGCGACCAAGTTAAAGATTAAAATGTGTGAGCTGAGAGGGTGAGGGGGCTGTCTGTGAGGGCGCCTGGCCTGACAAGCAGAGAGTTATCCAGACCATTAGGCTGCTAAAACACAGAACACACCCTCCTGCTCCTATGTTCCCCTAATTGTTCCTCTTCACCTTCTGATTCATTATACCTCTTCTCTAATGACCATTGTTTTCTCATTTCCATGTTGACACAGGAGGACCACTCCTAAACAGACGGCGTCTGAGGTGCATGTCTACGGGGGTATTGACCCATACAATCGCAATGCTGCATTAATAAAAAACTGTACTGATTGTAGTGGCTGCCTATCACCAGCGACAACACAGTTTGCCATCACATGAGGAGGCCTCAAGGGGGCTAACCTTGAGCCTGTACATTAGCATTTCATTTGAATGTCAGGTGGCAAAGCATCCTAATGCTGCACTGGGAGAAAAAAACTGTAGAGGACCCAGAAATAGTCAACAGTCCGATGATAGTTTCCCTTGATGGAACTATTAAAAATGTCAACAGCATTCAAGAACCCATAAAAACCATGATTCAATCAAAATGTGAAAAGTTTAAGAAGTGGTATTGTGTACATTGTATTAGTGGAGAATGGTTGATGCACTGTCAATTAATCTATGTAGCGCTGCACTTCTGTAATGATTATCATTGATGGCTGCTGAGATAAATGGTTAAGCAGTTGAGGTTAATGAGATGTCCATTAGAATGAATGGTTTGCTGGCCGGTACGATAAAGTGACATGGAGATAATCTGTAACACGGACCGTAAAACTCCCTGTCTGGGACAACCAGATAACCACATGAACTGGAACGACAAATTTGGGATAAGAATTTACTTTTGAACCAGCCAGGTCCATTAGGTACTGTAAACTGGACATTTATGACAGCCCCAAGTCTGTGCCCCTGCTGCCTTTGTTATCATAAGAGATCCCAGGTTGCCATTGACAACAACTTGATTTCTGGTGGGTTTGCTATACAGGAAAGGCTTTGCAGTCATCTAACTCTCAGTCTGGGCAGTTTGGGCTACAGGAGTCACATGGCTTTTGTATTTTCTCTTCGGGCCTGCTTGCTTGTACTGATAAAGGTGATTTAATACAACTGTAGACACAGTCCACCTAAGGTGCTTCCATGCCCATTAAATTGAAGTCAGTAAAATATTGATTTTTCATAAATCTCCTGTCATATGTTGTCATTGCCTGGTGTGTTATATCAGTAGGCCTATTCAATTGCCTGACGTAGGTCTAGTGGAGGACAAGTGTGAACCAAGCGAGCGACATCAAAGTAGTCGACAACAACTACTTCCGCCTTGAGACATAATGCCTAACAAAGACTTACAACATAGAAAAATATTATAGAGCCCTAGATCGCTGACATACAAGAAGAAAACAAACCTCTACATTTGCATAATACGATCTTCAAACCTCCCCAGACCGTTTCTTTCATTTGATCACTTGCAGGTTTATCAATCTCAGCTGACTTGAAAGAATTCTTATTGAAATTATGAACAAATCCTGTAACATTATGAAATATGCTGATGTCGGGGAAAAAGAAGTGATTGCTCACATAATAATTGTGAAGCCTACACCAGACAAAATCAAAATGAATTTGATGATGCTGATTTAATATAGTAATTTATAGCCTAGACTATATTATGCCTAGTATAGGCTACTAGCCTACTGCTATTACTGTTCACTACCGATGATAGGCAATTATAATCATAACTATAATCATTGAGCGCTTATTATGTAAATAGGTCAACACACAATGCAATTATAATGCATACCCTGCTTTACCCTCAACTGTAAATACATTATATAGGCCATATTACACAGATGTAGGATCTTAATTTGGGCCAGTTTGCTTCAGCGGGAAAATAATCCTGAAGCAACAGGAAATGTGAATTATTAGGCTATGTGGATTATAATTTATGGAAATGTGTGTATGATTGAGTTTTTGTTATGGCAACTCAAGTCTGAAATTTCAAAGTGGAAATTATAGACTTTAGAAGCCTTTTAAAAATTAAAATACACTACAAGTTTGCATTTCCAAAATGTGCAGTAACAAAAGACTGATCAAATTAAGATCCTACATCTGTACCCAATAAACGCAGGAGAAAATGCCACTAATTTAAGATGGCATGCGAGGTGTGATTAATGTGTTCACACAGGCACTGCAGTGAGGCGCAACTGTACCGATGAGCGCAAAATATAAAGTTTTTGTCAGTGACATTTGCTATTATATGACAATACACAGCAATGTCAAATATTTTGATAGGATTGGACAAATACTAAGGAATGAAAGAACAACCATTTTCACATTTTAGTCATTTAGCAGACGCTCTTATCTAGAGCGACTTAGAGAGTGCAAACATTTTTTTTTTTCATACTGGCCTCCCGTGGGAATCGAACCCACAACCCTGGCATTGCGAACGCCATGCTCTACCCACTGAGCTACATCCCTGCCGGCCAGTCCCTCCCCTACCCTGGACGACCAAGCGACAGATAACCTGGTATTCCATCTTTCTGAGTTGAAACATAAATTCCTTTCTGAATTTAGAGAACAGGTGCATGCATCATTCATGGATGTGACTCGCAAACTCAGTGGTTCTGGTTTTGCTTTTTCCTCACAAGATGGTGCCTACAGTATTTCAGTATCTTTGATTTGAGAAAGAAAATGGGCCAAGACACTGAATTTAACCCATTATATTTAATATGTGTGTGATTTGCTACAGATACATTTAGTTTATTATTATTTTAATAAACATTTAAAAACGTGACTTATGCTTTACTTACTATGGTCTTATGGACAACCAAATGATACACTTTCTGACACAAAAAAATTTATGAACACCTCAGTAAATTACCTGAATTTGCCGGTGGTGTGCTCCGCCTCATCCAATCATAAGGGTTTCTGCGCTGAGAATTGGGAGACAGCTGCCCTACAGATGAGTTGATGGATGGGAGAAGCCCGGGTTGTGGGACTGGAGAGAACTCTGGGGGACTATACCCTATTGGTCCCGGATTAGATGTGGACGGTCCTGTCCCCGGCCCATAGGGTGACCACTCTTCCCGGCTCGGCGGGTAAGCAGGGTTCCAGGCCCCAGTCTGGCTGTGGTGAGGGTCATTGTTAATCCCAGCAACGTGGTGGTATCCGCTGAAATCCGAATACTGTGGAGGTGCGGGCACAAAGTTCTGATGGTTCAGGTTTAGGCTGGGATGTCGCACTGAATTTGGGTACATGCTGGGTTCCTTCTCCAAAAGATAACTCACGTACATCTTTCCGTATGGGAACTCCTGCGCATAGTGTGCGTCCAGCACGTTGCTCCTGCCTCCTCTACCCCAGGTTTCTGTTGAACCAAGGCCTCCTCTACCTGGCTGGTCTACCTATAGCCTACTCTTCAACTTCTTGTTTGCTAGACACGCTGCCAGTCAAGAGGTGTCGCGCTGACGTCAACATTTTATAGCCCTCCTCTCCCTCCCTCGACTTATCCCACCAGGGACAATTAGCATTAGAGACGGGCCTGCATTTCAAAGGCAACCGAGCACCGGCATCAAAGCCGTCACGGGCATTTAGAAGAATGCTACAAATCGCACAGGAGAAACTAACATGAGTTCATGTTGAGTTTCTCAATGGGAGAACCTGTCACTGCATTGTCCGCATAACGCCCATACATGCCTTGTGGAATAGAATGGTGAAGGGTCGAGGAACGTGGTAGCAAGGCCTGGAGTGGCCATAGCTATTTTTTAAAATAAACAGATAGCCTATCTATAAAATCATGTTGTGTATATAAATGTGCCCCAATAAATCCCTATTCAATGTAAACTACCCAATATACTAACCATACTATTTCCTTAGATAGCCTGCATTCTGCCGTGTGCTCATCAAAGTTTATCTTACTTGTTTTGTGTGATATATTCCTTGTAATATTAGGCCTATATGTATACACATTGATGAGCACATGGCAGAATGTAGGCTATTTAAGGAAATTAGAATGGTTAGTATATAGTATATTTTAAGTGACCTTAAACTCAAACTTATTGTAGCATTAAAATATGGGATAGGCCTAGTTCTTTGCAGGAAAGTATTGATGTGTTCTTTCTGTGCTGGGCTGAAACAGACAGCGCGGCTCCAAGCCTGTATTGGGGGGATTTCAAACAGATCTCTGAGGTGATATGCCGGTCTAGTCTCGTGCCCACCTCCTGGGGGTTCTAAACCAGGAGGAAGTGGCTCATGGAATATTTCGAATTTTAATAAAATTCATTGCCCTCTCGGTGCCCTGAGTTTATGCTTCTCTGTTGTTACACCTCTTCTTATGCTTTAGAAATGGAATTGAAGCAGTGAAAAAACATGCAGGTTTTAGCTGAATTTCATGAGGGTCACACAATTAAAATAGAATGTTTGTCCAAATTTAGATAGCATTTTAATACATCGAATTTCAAACGAAATAAGACTTCAAAGCTAAATCACACCGTCTATTTTGTAAACTTCAAATAATTAAAGATAAAACATTAAATGGTCCATCCAGGTCATTATTCTATTGTAATTCATTCAGACCTTAGTGTTCAAGTCATAATTACTAACGAAATAGAATAGAATATTTCAAGTTTTCCTTTTTTATTTTATTTTTTATTTTTTGATCTAGGTCGTTTCATTCATTTGTCTGCTATTACAGTAATAACAAAATGGAATATAATGTTTAGAAGCATTTTTTTTCATTGGATCAAGCATGTCAATAATAATGTTTTTAGCTAAATGGTTCTAAAAATATAACTAATTGTAGCTATATATAAAAATAGCTATTTATTTAAAACATTTCTGATTTATGAAGGACATTCCAAATAAGTCAAATATTACTTTAATTTCTGTCATACAATAACACAGATGCTTATTATAACAACTTCAACAGTATAAACAATACAAACTAAAATAATTATAAACATAACATTAGAATGATAACTATATAATAATAATTCATGAATTCAGTGTATTTCAGTTCAGGTGACAGTTTCTAGCATTCTGTCAGTATCAAAAGAAAAGTAGGTCTACATACATTTTATGTAAATCAACATAATATAATGAAAGCTATTTATATCACACTTTCTTGCCCTGTTGTGAAGTAGGGCAGTTTAACAACCAGCACTAGTAATTGTAAACAGTTTCACCAGTGTGAACCAGTTAATGTTCAGATAATAACCTAATAATAACAGTGGGAGCATACTGTATTCTGTGAAGAAGCATTTGTGGGCTAGGGTATAGTGCTACAGAGACTTTGAGCTCCCCTGTGTCTCGTGTCATTCTACTGTTCTCTCTCCTCTCCTTGTCACCTGTGTAGCCATCTAGGGAGCACTGTGTTCTGTGTGGGCTGGTGTGTTCACCTGTGCTCTGTCAGGAGGAGGACTGCGCTGTGAGGTGACCTCTGTCTGGCCCCTGAGAGGGGTTCCTCCACCAGGCTGAGGGCCCAGGGAAGTGGCCCCCATGGCTCCCTGTCTGGGACAGTGTTTGTCGGGCTCCGGGAGGACAGAGCGACACAATGACCTGGGGAAGACTCTCCCATCTCTCCCGCCCCTTAATGGTAAATATGCGTCCCTATCTGCCATGCTCCCACTGCTTCCCACAGACTAGCAGTCTGCCTGCCTCTCTCAATTACATTAAATTAAATTCAAAGGACTTTATTGGCATGGGAAACATTGCCAAAGCAAGTGAAATAGACAATAAACAAAAATGAAATAAAACATCAGAAATTGACAGTAAACATTACACTCACAACAGTTTCAAAAGAATAGAGACATTTCAAATGTTATATTATTGGCTATAATAATGTTTAACAATGTTCAAAAAGTTGAAGTACGAAAGGGAAAATAAATAAGCAGATAAATATAGGTTGTATTTACAATGGTGTTTGTGCTCCACTAGTTGCCCTTTTCATATGGCAACAGGTCCAAAATCTTGCTGCTGTGATGGCACACTGTGGTATTTCACCTAATAGATATGGGAGGTTATCAAAATGTGATTTGCTTTTGAATTCTTTGTGGGGTCTGTGTAATAAGAGGGATATATGTGTCTCTAATATGGTCATACATTTGACAGGAGGTTAGGAAGTGCAGCTCAGTTTCCAACTCATTTTGTGGGCAGTGTGCACATAGCCTGTCTTTGCTCGACAGCCAGGTCTGCCAATGGCACCCTACATCAATAGCAAGGCTGTAGCAAGGCTATGGCTGAGTTTGTACATAGTCAAAGCTTTTATTATTTTGGGGTCAGTCACATTGGTCAAGTATTCTGCCACTGGGTACTCTCTGTTTAGGGCCAGATAGCATTCCAGTTTGCTCCGTTTTTTGGTTAATTATTTTCAATGTGTCAAGTAATTATATTTTTGTTTTCCCTTGATTTGGTTGGGTCTAATCGTGTTGCTGTCCTGGTGCTCTATGGGGTCTGTTTGCGTTTGTGAACAGAGCCCCAGAACCAACTGACTGAGGGGGCTCTTCTCTAGGTTAATCTCTCTGTAGGTGATGGCTTTGTTACGGAAGGTTTAGGAGTCACTTCCTTTTAGGTGGCTCTAGAATTTAACAGCTCTTTTCTGGATTTTACATTTACATTTTTACATTTTAGTCAGTTAGCAGACGCTCTTATCCAGAGTGACTTACAGTTAGTGAGTCGCCCTGATTCTGCACTGCATGCATTATTTGGGGGTGTTTTTGCAGAATTCTGCATGCAGAGCGTCTCAATTTGGTGTTTGTCCCATTTTGTGAATTCTTGGTTGGTGAGTGAACCCCAGACCTCACATCCTTAGAGGGCAATGGGTTCTATAACTGATTCAAGTATTTTTAGCCAGATCCTAATTGGGATGTCAAATTTTATGTTTCTTTTGATGGCGTATATGGCCTTTCTTGCCTTGTCTCTCAAATCGTTCACAGCTTTGTGGAAGTTACCTGTGGTGCTGATGTTTAGGCCAAGGTAGGTATAATTCTTTGATCTAAGGCAACGGTGTCTAGATGGAATTTGATGGAATTTCTCTCTGTGTTTCTCAGTCAAAGACACAACTGATTTAAAAACATGGTATAGATGTACATGTATGTGTATTTCATAATTTTTCTTGCCCTGAGAAACGTAATTGTGACTTTAGAACATTTTTCATGGGAAGAAATGAATAAGAATCATGAAAATGGGTAAGATGAGAAAAAGTTCAAAGCAGGCTGGGGAGGGGTGACAGTGTTAGGTCACACTTCACAACCAAGTGTGACTTCCTTCTCAACGCAGGGTGCCATGGAGACAGTCAGGGGGAATGACCCGACCTGTGTGTCATGGAGACAGTGAAGTCCTGACTGACTGACTGGCTGACTGCTCTATTGATTCAGCTCAATGCAACAGGTGGAGAAACGAAAGTGTAGAGCCAAGAGATCAATGTAATTCAGTGGAACAAGAGCAGTGGTAAAGTCACATTGTATACATTTGTACAAAATCATAATTTGGTCATTTCTTCACATTTAATTAATGCTGAATGGCATGCTCCATGACTATTCCAAATAGAATGTGCCTTGAGAGAGAGATCAAATGGTTTAAAAAGAAGAATTTGAGTCCAAGAGTCTCATTAGGGACCAGTTTTTATTTAAAATAATCACTCAGATTTGTATTTCTTAATTTTGTGCAAAAGTGTTATGGTATAGGTTTAGTTGAGATTTGTTGTTAGGCATGTTATGTTACCATTCATTTCGACAAGATTAATGTTCAGGTTTTTAGGCATGTTGACTATATTTTTAGCATTATTACACTTTATTTATGCTTAACTAAATTTTATGTATTCTTATATGAACATTAAGAAAACAAGATGAAAGGTTTTAGAGTAGTGCTCTCAAAATAAGGGCAATTGTAATTTTCTTCATCCACATTTCAAATATTCTGCAGTCAAAGTTTAAAGGGTCAATCAGTAGTTGAAACAATAACAAAGCGCCACTGTTTCAGTACAAATCTGAGGGATGGGGATAGAGAAATTTGATCACTCTCAAATTCATAGACAGAACTATGGATGTAAGGACTGGCCATCAATGATGTAAAAAGTATAGTTTTAAACATGTTTTAAGGCTAGACAGTGTTTGTTTACAGCTGCTTTGATTACAAACATTGGGCTAAAGCAAGCTTATATTTTGGGTTCTGATGGGGTATGACAGTAAAACTAAGCTCATGAGTCCTTTATAGGTTATATTCTTCAAGAATCAATTGGTACATGTCATTAATTTAAGTCCAAAAATGGATGTAGCAACTGCTGAATGCTCCTTTAACTATTGCTTGATACCACCATTTTCAATTCTAATGTCATCACATTTAATAATCTTTTATTTTACAACTGCCCACACACAGTCTCTGTTGCGGTCATAAATTTAACCTGAGTCTGCAGTCTTGATGACCTCTGTGAAGATTGTATGTGAACTGCCCTCTGTCTCCCCCCTGTGGCATAAAAAAGGAACAAGCCGTTTGTTGTGCACATTGCATGGGGCGTATTTATTAGTCGCACACAGTAGCAAAACGTTTTGCAACGGAAAACGTTTTTAGGTAGGTCCCTCCCCGTTTCATTCTGTTTGCTTCTGTTTGGTTCTGTTTGGTTCCTACACCCCAGAAGTGGAATGGGAGCATAAAAAGAAGGCATTGTTTTCTTTAAACTTAATGTTGTTGACATGGTAATAGCAAACAAAACCTTGCATAGGCTTTATAAGAACACAGCGATAGAGTGAAATATGTATAACTGACAAATTGATTAAAGCAAACTAATTTGAGAGTAAAGAGTGAGTGAACAGCAAATGTAACAATGTGCAAAGAAATCATTACTCTTTGAACAGGCTCCTTGGCTTGGGATTCTGTCTTCATGCATAATTTCCTTTCCTTCCACTCCATTGGCCAAAAGTTCGCTTAACTACTCCACGATTTAAAAAAGATTATGACCTCATATTATCTCTGTTTATCGCTGCAGATCACCATGGAAACTGAGGGTCATACTCTGGGCATGTGTCAGTACTGGGATGGTTCTGTGCTGCTGGTTTTCATGTGCAGGATACACACACACACACACACACACACACACACACACACACACACACACACACACACAAACACACGGCTGAAAGAGCCTTGTGTCTGCCTGCTGTCAAGCCTCCGCTCTGCGCCCAGTTTGTCCCGCTTCCGGGGGAACATATGGACCTAAATATCCCACGTGTTGACAGATGTGCTGAGTTAGGCTGATCAAGAGAGCTGCAGGACAAACCTCCAACTCACAGAGCAATACGTACAGTGGGTGCTAACCCATTTCATTTGGTTTCTTTACACCAGTCTATTTAGATAAATTGCACTGTCAATGAACTGTATACGGCCATATGCAAACAGGAAAACGCTCATCCAGAGGCGGCGCTCCTAGTGGCCGGGGACTTTAATGCAGGGAAACTTACATCCGTTTTACCTAATTTCTACAGTTCTGTCATGGATTCTGCCGAGGCTGCCCCTCCTCCTTGCTCGGTCAGGCTGCGGCGTTCGTCGTCACCGGAATACTAGCTACTGCCGATCTATGTTATATGTGTCTATGTTGCACCTGATGTCTAGGTCACACACCTGTTTCCCATTAGTGTAATCACGCCTACCCTATTTAACCCAGGTGCTCCCAATGTGTCCTGTGCGTGGTTGTTTTTCGTTTCGTGTGTCGTTTGGTGAGCGGTTTAGTTCCTTCCTGCGTGAAGGTATTGCTGTGTTGTTTTCTTTACTCAAGTTCAGTAAAGTACATTTCCTCGAGTTCTGTGTCCTGCGCCTGACTTCGATCCACCGCATTACACTGACACTCGTTACAAGTTCTTTTCGATTGCTAACAAGCATTGTTAAATTCTGCGGATACATGTACAAAACTCTAAATACAGTTATCACAACAACACTATGTGGTAACCTGTGGACCATTCGTCATTGCTTTGACACAAAATGCATTCAATGACAACATCTTTCAAATTACATAAATACTTGTCTCACAAAAACACATTTACCAACAAAACTCTATGTATCTACAGACCATTTAGCAAATGTTAAGATACCCTTATCAAAATGGTTAAACTCAAGTTCAAAAGCTACTGAAAATTGAATTAGACTGCAATTTTTTACATTGCTAAAGTAAAAGCAAAATAGAAATTCTAAAATAAAAATTTAATAATAACTCTTAATTATTCACAGCTGATTTTCATTCTATATTACGTAACTGAAGACCTACCCAGGTGTTTTCTATTTTTATGTCATTACCATCTCTACAAAAGGGGACATCTTTGGAATATATTTTACATAAACATGGACCCAGCCAGAGATCGTGTAGTGGCTTGCAGAGGTGGAAGAGTTGCCGGGAGAGACAGTGGATTACGTATCCGTGGTGGAAGACGACTGAGGGGAAGACCCAGAGTTGTAGTGTCAGATGTGATTAGGGCTACAATCATTGATCATGTTGTCAATCATGGTCTATCAATGAGAGATGCTGGTCTCAGAGTGCAGCCAAATTTGCAATGCTCAACTGTGTCATCTATTATAAGAACCTTCCAGCAAACCAACAGGTAAGATATGGATTCTGCATGGGCATATAACTGTACTGAATATTACTGTAGAGTAGTAAATCGACCAAAAGCTCTCCGAACCGCTTGTGTGTAATTGTATTTCTGTTTTAGAACCCAACGGTTACCAAATGGAGGGGAGAGAGGTAGGATTTTCTTTGCTCAGCAGGAAGCTGTAATTGTTGACATGGTCATTAGCAAAAGTGCCATAAAACTCAGAGAAATTCGAGAGTGTTGGCAGACAATAATACATTTCAAAACAAAATGTTGAAAGTGTAAGCACGACAACCATTTCTAGAGTCTTGACAAAGCATCATATCAGCATGATCAGCTCTGTTCCCTTTGAGAGTAACTCTGATTGTGTCAAGGAACTCCGGTACCAATATGTCCAGGTAAGATGTCTATATCCTGTAATACAGTACTGTTTTTACTGTAAACAAAACCCACCAGAGCACTGCACACTCAGCAGTGATTTCAGTTACAGGATACCAAAAAAGTGTTAAACAAATCAAAATATATTTGAGATTCTTCAAATAGCCACCCTTTGCCTTGATTACATCTTTGCACACTCTTGGCATTCTCTCAACCAGCTTCACGAGGTAGTCACCTGGAATGTATTTCAATTAACAGGTGTGCCTTCTTAAAAGTTAATTTGTGGAATTTATTTCCTTCTTAATGCGTATGAGCCAATCAGTTGTGTTGTGACAAGGTAGGGGGTGTATACAGAAGATAGCCCTATTTGGTAAAAGACCAAGTCCATATTATGGCAATAACAGCTCAAATAAGCAAAGAGAAACGACAGTCTATCATTACATTAAGACATGAAGGCCAATCAATACGGAACATTTCAAAAACGTTGAAAGTTTCTTCAAGTGCAGTAACAAAAACCATCAAGCGCTATGATGAAACTGGCTCTCATGAGGACCGCCACAGGAATGGAAGACCCAGAGTTACCTCTGCTGCAGAGGATAAGCTCATTAGAGTTACCAGCCTCAGAAATTGCAGCCCAAATAAATGCTTCAGAGTTCAAGTAACAGACACAGCTCAACATCAACTGTTCAGAGGGGACTGTGTGAATCAGGCCTTCATGGTCGAATTGCTGCAAAGAAACCACTACTAAAGGACACAATAAGAAGAGACCTGCTTGGGCCAAGAAACACGAGCAATGGACATTAGACCGGTGGAAATTTGTCCTTTGGTCTGGAGTCCAAATTGGAGATTTTTGGTTCAATCCGCTGTATATCTGCATGTGTAGTTCCCACCGTAAAGTATGGAGTAGGAGGTGTTGTGGTGTGGGGGTGCTTTGCTGGTTACACTGTCTGTGATTTATTTAGAATTGAAGGCACACTTAACCAGCATGACGACCACAGCATTCTGCAGTGATACACCATCCAATCTGGTTTGGGCTTAGTGGGACTATCATTTGTTTTTCAACAAGACAATGACTCAACACACCTCCAGGCTATGTAAGGGCTATTTTACCAAGAAGGAGAGTGATGGAGTGCTGCATCAGATGATCTGGCCTCCACAATCACCGGACCTCAACCAAATTAAGATGGTTTGGGATGAGTTGGACGGCAGAGTGAAGGAAAAGCAGCCAACAAGTGCTCAGCATATGTGGGAACTACTTCAAGACCGTTGGAAAAGAATTCCAGGTGAAGCTGGTTGAGAGAATGCCAAGAGTGTGCAAAGCTGTCATCAAGGCAAAGGGTGGCTATTTGAAGAATCTCAAATATAAAATATATTTTGATTTTTTTAACACTTTTTTGGTTACTACATGATTCCATATGTGTTCATAGTCTTCACTATTATTCCACAATGTAGAAAATAGTAAAAATAAAGACAAACCCTTGAATGAGTAGGTGTGTCCAAACTTTTGACTTGTACAGTATATATAAATAGACTGACCATATATTTATTTATTTGTTCCGGACTCTGACATTGCTCATTCTCATATTTCGCAATTTCTTTATTTTTAATTTTGAACTTTGTGCATAGTGTTTTGTATTGTTTTCTAGGTATTATTACTACATGGTTGGATCTAGAAAACAAGCCTTTCGTTACACCTACGATAACATCTGCTAATATGTGTACGTGACCAATAAACTTGGATTTGATTTGGTGGTTACCCCCACACACTGGTATAAAACTGTTGAGGTCACTAATCGGGGTCTGCCTCATTTCATGTGTATGCGTGTCTGTCCTCCCACAGAGCAGAGCCATGACAAACACTGCTGTGTCAGAGACAGCAGCAACATGCCAGCACTAACGTCTCTCGCTCTACAGCAGTGCTATGGGGGAAATCTCATATGAATATGATCCCACACACAGTTTGGGAAAATAAGTTCCAAATGGGATCTCCAAAAAGTCCGAAAAGGATTGAAGATTGAATTTAGTGTCAATATTATATTAGCTAATGGAAGACGATTAAACACATATACACACACACACACAGGACATTCAGACGTTGTCTGTCCAAGAGTGACTTTACAGAGACCAGTTAAATCCCTCCACTGACCTTGCCTCCCCTTCCCCCACAAAAAAAACCCACAAATAAAAAAGCTCCAGCTAAGCTTCTGGCGAGAGCCCTGCGTTTTCTAGCCAGCCACTCAGATCCTGAGAAGGAAAAGGAAAAAGAAGGGGCGAAAAGCCAAGATTGAAAACAGATATAGGCAGTCTCTGCAACAAAAAGAAAAAGTACATGTTTTTCCAGTAGAGCTTGGACCCTCAAAGAAAGGCATGATCTTTTCTTACTCTTTATCAGAATGGAATAATATTGACTTTCAAGGCAATAACAGACTTCTGCCAGTGGATAAGATATTTATTTGTATAGAATCTTTTGTCCTTGTTTTGTAAGAATGGCACAGCAATTCTAGACAGAATGCTATCCTATTCAAGGAGGAGAAACAGTTTACCCTAATGGCTTCAAGAGGATTGTTGTGTTTTGCAGGAATGATTATGAGTGCATAAGAGCTTACTTCCCATACACCCACTCTCCTAAGGCATGCTCCAGACTGAAGGTTTCCACCCATATATCCCTGCAAATTGAAGGAGCTCACTCAACATCAACATCAAGGACTTCTCTCCAACTCAGAGAGGATACAGGAGCACAGATAGCTATCGTACATTGTCAACAGACAAGACAGGGTGGTGAAAAAGGTGGACAGGAACTCTCCCAAGGTAAGTGACGACTATATTGTCCTTATCATCTTTCTTCTTCCCTCTCTTATTCTAACACACAAACAGGAGGGTTTCACGGTTGCTTCTTTCTGTCTGCAACCAGCCCAGACTATTTTGCAACTGCCAACCCACACTTTTGTCTGTGAGACAGTACTGGTTTCTCTGCTCTCAGCATTACAGAATCCCCAACTTGGGGATGGGTGACAGAGGTATCCACATCCTGATGGGTCTCTCTTGTGGTATTGTCAGGGGGAACAACACAAACTGATGTTTTTCAAATAGCTTGTCTCTCAGTGCAGCTGGGATGCGTATCCCCTGCTGTGCATTCCTTCCCCTCAGGCAAGGCAGCTAAATGATAACAACAGGATTTTTACCAAATTGTTTTTCCAGACATGTAAGGATACTCAAACTACTTCAGTTCTATTGACAAGATACACTTTTTCACAAGATAGATTAAAAGAAAACAGCATATAACATGGGTTGAGAACCACGATGGCCACACACGTCTATCTGTTGAAAGATTTACTGACCCTCTATGGATATCACTCATCTCCTTCAATGGGGGCTGTTCGACATTAACACATGCTTGGATTTCAGTTCAATGGCACACTGGTCAAAGAACACGTAGATCCAGTATGTTACCATACTGTTGCATTACGTACCATAAGCCACACATTATATATTGACTATTCAACTGCAGTTTCAGTAGCATAATTTACCAACATTTTATTATTCTGTACATTTGAGTCAACACTGCTGTGTGTTGTTGTGCTTTTTGCACCCTTACCAAAGAATGAAGCCATGAGAAAAGGCATGCGTGGAATGTCATTACAGATATACAATTCACCCAAAAGCAAACATAAAGGGCCCTACTACTGTCGCTGTGGTAAAAACAGCCCTTGTCTAGACCACATTGTGCAAAAAGAAACCAAATTGCAATAGCAGATTGTACAGTGTAGAGTTTCATGCCCATACACCCTTCCATTTTTACTAGACACTTACTTTCAATCACAGGATGTACTAACCTCAATGGGGGAAAAGTAATATAGCTAGACTTCACTCAACTAAATACAATGGCATAAAATACGCTTCTCCCCCAGAACTGGGCACTGCTCTATACACTGTAAACCGATTACTGTAAAACCACCACCTACCCCTCCCTTCAATCCAGACACTGCATGGAAAATGTGTTAAATTGATTAAGGCCTTGTTTGGGTCACAGATGAACATTTGCTTAGTACTGAAAACTACAAAAATGTCTCTCAATACACTGCAGCAGGGTCGTTTATGTAACATCTAGTCAGGCCAAATACAACGTATTTAGGCATATTTGAAATAGTGAAATGATGGCTTCGTGTGTGATTTGATTTCCATTGCATTTTCCTATAGCGGCTACGCATACGACTATTACCATCTAGTAAGCTCGCGACGAGCTAGGATGAGCTTGTGTTGCATCTAGTACATATTATTTTGATAAAAAGTATTCTTTCACAACTATTTAGCCGGTGGGAAATTTGCCATACCACATGAGAGGGTCTGCTGCAGACTGTAATGTATCAGTCACGGAGTCGTTGACGGTGCTAAATCGGATACAGGAGCGTAGGCCATATGAAACAGAGGTTCAGTTTGTTTTGCAGCCTTTCCGATTGGTGGGAACACATGGCATGCAGTGCGGCTATGGTAGGGTGCCACAGCTCAGCATCTGTGTTCGCGGGCTGGTTACGTCTGGTGTGTCAGTCACTCGCCCCCACACAAGGGAGGCCAGTGTTCCTCATCACAGAGAGACTGTGACGGCCAGGCTCTGCCTCCCTCACAATGATAAGAAAGCAGCTGGGAGGCTTCTTTAGCTCAGCTCAGAGGGTTTCATAAACACAACCATGCTCCAGACTATAACTGATTGAACTGATGAGGTGATGCCCAGTTTAGCTCCGTTGGGAATTCAGTCTTATACCGAATGAGGTAGTATGAGCGTGAAATTAGTATGTGTGTGTTCATGGAAACAGCCTTTATTTGATCTATGAGGCCAGGTCATATAGAGCCAGTTTCTTTTGTTTTATTAGACATTTTGACTCACAGCCAGCCCCTTTTGGGCAGCGGCCAACTAACATTATAGGACCTGGGCCAATGAGCTTGCAAACAATTGATGCTTTTCTGAAAGAGTCAATTTGCAAACCTTAGCCAGAGTGTGAGAGGCTTTGGTTTCGGGCAAATAATGTTTGTTTGTTTTAATTCCTCTAAGAGCATGAGTCCTGAGAGGATGCTTGATTAGAAAAGAGCTGCTTATCTCAACAAGCTATTTTGATCGCAATAGCTGTCTGGTTTTCTGTGGAAAATTCCCCCTATCTTTAAGGACTCTTTCCCAACATCTCCCTCTGTGGCCTCCTCCCTTAACCACTCCACCTCTACCTCTTGATATTTTCCCCTGAAAACACATTGCTTCTTTCAGATGGAATTTCCTTATACTTGGCCTGCATGGTCTAGCCATTAAATCCATGCCATATTCCATTTGTTTCCAAAGGGAACACCAAATTGAAATTATCAGGTAGCTGGAGCAATTCTTTTTCATTCTGTCTAAAAATGCCTGGGGTCTGTTTATTGAGTTGTTCATTCCCCAGATAAAAAGGCAGTGTGATTGATGAAAGGATGCGGGGAGTCTGTTTTTAGCTTTAGTAAAACCATAAGGAGGGAAACAGAGAGAGGGAGAGAGAGAGAGAAAGAGAGACTAACATGGCAGTTTCATACAACAGTCACATCCCAGTGAGGTTCTGTCTGTCTGCACCTCTTGCCTGTGAGTTGCCACCAATGCCTCATCTGTACTCTCACTTTCAGACATACTGTAGCTGGGAAGGACATTAACTTCACTGGCTGAGGATCAATTAGAGCTGGCTGGAAGGTCTTGTAGCAGAGAGGTATGCTTTTGCTTCATGGTACCAGACAGACATCAGATCAGTGTCCTGCTGCTTCGTTCTGCAGCCAGTGGCCTGAGACAACCGATTACGTTAGATTTCAAATGTCAATGGCCTTGGCAACCTAATGTTACTATGACTGAATGGAAAAGATGAATCATAAGATACCGTGACTCAGATTGTACAAACAAAATTGCTCTCAATGAGTGAATAAAAACACTTGATAAAGAGCATGGGAAGCAAGACTTGTTGGTTGAGGTAGCGAATTCCAGAAGCAGTATGTCATTCATTTTGGGAACCCCCAGCTGTGACAGCTCTATTTTGACTGTGAGCTCAGCCTGGCCTCAAAGAGTAGAAGTAACAGAGTAAATGTAGTGGCGTTTATTCATGGTTGCCGAGGGAAGGCAGGCTTCCCAAAAAAATGGACAAAGAAACAAAACAAAATATTTAGTCTCTCTGTGTTTTCATAATCTTCCTTAAATTCGCAAGAGGCTGAATGTATCTCAACGGAGAAAGCATCCGAGCGAGCGAAACAGCGCCCCTCTGTCTCTGTATGTGTAGGCCGTCTATCTGATGGTGTCTGGTCATAAAGAGTATGACATTGTTGCCGCCAGTAGCATTGAATGCAAGGGAAGCCAGCGAGCATTTGGCCTCCATTGAAAAAAAAATAAAAAATAATAGCTAATCAGCATTGAGCTAAACTGAGTGAGCTCAACTGTGAATGGTCTTGGCGCACCAAAAAAAAGTGTAAAGGGAAGTTTGGATTTGGCTTCACTCCTATCACATCGCATTAAGTGAAATTAGTCATTGACAGAAACATTCTTGAATTGTTGCATCTCGTTGTGTTGTTGTCCTCCAGTGGCTAGCTAGCTAAAATTGGCCCTTTCCTAAATTAACCATGGATGGAGATAGGGATTTGGACTTGTGGTTTTACTTAATTCTCCGTACTGGTCAATGATTATAACGGAAATTCTGATCCAACCATACATTCATTCACGGAAATTCTGATCCAACCACACATTTAACTAGCTAACATTGCCTATGAAAGGAAGTTAGGCTAGCGAGCAAGCATTTTAGCAAAGTAGCCTAGGACAACAAAAAATAGAAGCGTGTACTGGATGACAGTCATAGACCGTTTCGTCAACATGAAAGAGAGGAGGATGGCATTGGCATTTCTCTACAAGTAGGGTGAGTCAACATGTTTTTTTCTACTTGCACGAACGCACACACGCATGCGCACCCACGCGCACACACACACACACACACACACACACACAAATCAAAACCATGGAAAGCCACATCATATTAAGCTTACGTTGATTGGACCTAATTGTTTTTGGTATCCTTTAGTTGTCAATGTATTAGACTAACTATAGGTGATTTTATGATGTTGAAATGTTGAAGTTGAAATGGTGCTGGAATAGTGGAGGCAGCTTGTGTTTCCTTTGCGACTTGGGTAACTCTCCATGGTTCTAAATAAATAGTTGTTTACTAGTCCGAAAATGTCGGAAACATTAACTTGATTGACCATGCTTTAGGTCATGTAACCATTTGCGATATGCTTATGCTTTGTGGACTTCACCGGACAGAGGTTGCTCTCCGGTTTTGTGATGAAACAAAGGTGTGGTTGAATTTATTCTGCCACTGTGTCTTCTTATTGTCTTAGGCCTATATATCACGGTCGCAAGGCATATGAACTAACAGGTTATAGAGCAAACAACGCAATTTTCTGGCTTTTTCTGGCTTGGCTTCTCCAGTGATTTTACCCATGCACTGCTACTGAGTAAATGTAAATCTGTGACAGATGTGTTACGTTTGGTGTGGTTACATAAGACAGAAGGTTACTTAAGACAAAAATGAAAGAAGGGAGGTTGGGCGGGCAGGATGGGTGGGCATATACCCAAACGTTGTGTGTTCGAATCATATCACGGACAACTTTAGCATTTTAGCTAATTAGTAAGTTTGCAACTACTTACTGCTTTTTAGCTACTTTGCAACTACTTAGCATGTTAGCTAACCATTTCCCTAACCCTAACCCTAACCTTAACCCCTGACCCTAACCTTAACCCTGACCTCAACCCCTAACTATGACCTTAACCCTAACCCCTAGCCTAGCTAATTTGTAACATGCACTCTTAGAAAAAATGGTTCCAAAAGGGTTCTGTGGCTGTCCCCATAGGAGAACCCTTTTTGGTTCGAGGTAGAACTCTTTTGGGTTCCATGTATAATCCTCTGTGGAAAGGGTTGTACATGGAACCCAAAAGGGTTCTACCTGGAACCAAAAGGATTCTACCTGGAACCAAAAGGGGTTCTTCAAAGGGTTCTCCTATGGGGACAGCTGAAGAACCCTTTTTGGTTCTAGATACAATAACTTATTTTTCTAAGCGTGTATCATACAAAATGGATTATGGACATCTACAAATTAAAACATACCATACGAAACGTAACATATCATACTAAATGGAGGGAGACAGACTTATCCTTACTATGTTACATCTACCCCTGAGTCCAGGTTGGTGAGCTTCCATTTCACAGACCTTACTTACTTGAGTTGACATGCTCTGTGCACTCCCAGTACACCCACTCATTCCTGGCCCAGTGTCCTCGACATCTTTTGTGCTCTCCACTCTCCTTCTTTGAGCCTAATTGTTTCCAGACCACGGCAAGTCCTCCAGCTTACAATCCCTCTAAAAACATCACATACAGAGTCTTTAAAGGCCTCTCTATACACAGTACTCTTTTACTGACTCCTTCACCATTCAATGTTTATTTTACAGAGTATTATCAATTCACACTGGCACTATGGAGCTGGGCTTGGCAAAGGCTCTGCCGTCGGTGGCCATCTTTGCAGGTAAGAAAAAGCTAAATGTGTTTTTACACTGCAGTTAGATTGTAATTGGTCGAGATTGTTCATTGGTAACGTGTTTGTGTTGTTCATCTCATTATGTTTGGACCCCAGGAAGAGTAGCCACTGCCTCGGCAGCAGCTAATTGGGAATCCTAATTAATACTAAATACATTTCCCAGTGCTGCTGCAGTTTTGTCCAGAGGGCTTCAGTCTGGAGCTCAGCCCCAGTGAGAAGGAGGTCATACTGAGCACCAACTCCTCCTTCATGGTGGTCTGTTCTGGTTGGAGCAAGGTGACCTGGAAGTCTCCCCACAACCCCAGCCTGGAGGGAGTGGCTGTGGAGGACAGGGGATCCACCAGTGTGCTGGTCCTCCACAACGTCACCTGGAGGCACTCTGGGAACTATGTCTGTGAAGAGCCCTCTACAGAGGAGACCAAGGACATATCAGTGTTTGTACCAGGTGAGACTAAACACCCTCTATAAACCTTCTATTTTCTTTTTCATGCATTTATTTTATCTTGTTGGATAGGACAGAGGTAGAGAGGAAAGATAGAGGAGAGAGTGTGCTGAAATAGCAGTGGGCCGGATTCAACCCATGCAGCAGCGATATATGTGATCTGGAGGCAGAGGCTTAGACCGCTAGACCATCCTAGACCACTGAACCTTCTATTTTAGGAGGACTATGGAGGGACAAACTGTGACAATTCAAAGCTAATACAAATCAGTGCTGGTTTCACAATTGACACCCTCTACCATTTTAATAAAATGTCCCTGCGTCTCTAAAGGCTATTTTAGAAAGGTCATTATTTTTACTTCCCTTCTTCAAAGTCTAACGTATGGTGGACATGTCCCCCCCTCCCCAGACCCTGAGGAATGGTTTGTTCCCCTGCAGCCAGCACTAGTGATGAAGGAGAGAGAGGAAGGCACCATTCCCTGCGTGGTGTCTGACCCTAGCATTAACGTGACCCTGTACGAGAGGGCCAGCAAGGACCCTGTGGAGGGAACATATGACCCCAGCAAAGGGTTCACCGCCATCCTGAAAGATAGCTCCTACATCTGCCGAGGTGCCATGAACGGAGAGGAGAAGGCGTCCCAGGTGTATTATGTCTACAGCATTGTGGGTAAGGCTCTGTGTCAACTCTCAAAGTGAAACTTTGACCAAAAGAAAAAGGGTCTCAACGCACAATCTTAAAACGGTCTTTAAAAAGCTGTAAAATGCTTATTGAAGACCAGGCTGCAGGAAGATGGTGCCTGTTATGATGTCCTCTTCCTTTCCGATTTATTCTTTCCAGTCCCCAAATCCATGAATGCCTTCATGACTCTCTCAAAAACTGTGCTGAAACAAGGCGAGGCCTTAATGGTTAATTGTACTGTAGAAGACGCAGAGATAGTTTACTTCAAATGGGATTTTCCTCGTAAAGAGGTGAGTGGACTATATGTGACACATGTTTCCCAAGCAGAATCATCTCCTTTGTTGATAACTATGTTGTTGCAATGCTGTTCTTACTTCTGTTATATTTTGTTTCCGTCTGAAGATGATTGAGCCACTGACAGACTTTCTAACGGGGAACCGGGAGTTTAGAATTCGTTCCTTCTTGAACATCTCCAGTGCTACTCTGGAGGACTCTGGCCAGTACATCTGCCGGGTACAGGACACCGTTTCAGGACAGTCAGCCATGGATAATCTCACTGTTACTGTTCTGGGTGAGCAAACACCCTCAAAGCTTTTCCAAACTCACAACAACATAAGCCTAGTAACTTTCATTTAATCGACTGAAAAAGTGGAAATACTATGCACAATGTAATGGGGCCTCAATGGGCTTTGTGTGTGTCTGCTTTGGAAAGTATCTAACTGATTGAGGTTCTTGCCATGTATCTATAAGGCAGTAATCTTCTATTCAAATGCCATTTTACAGAACGGGGCTTTGTGGCTTTGGAACCCTCCATCAACCACAATGTTTCAGCGCTGCAGTTTGAGAGCATTGAGCTCACAGTGCAGATTGAAGCGTATCCCAAACCTCAGGTGCTCTGGACCAGAGACAACACCACCCTCACTGGGGAAACGGTATCCATGGTCACCAGACAGGTGCATGAGACCAGGTACCCATCATACATGATCATGAACATCCCAACTGAAAGAAATCTATTAAAATGGTGACAATGAAATTGAGAATCAGGGCATAAGCCCCATGATATTGATTGTGTTCTGTTTGACCTTTGACCTCAAGTTACCTCAGTACTCTGACCTTGGTAAGGGTCAGGATGGAACAGAGGGGCCTCTACACTGTCCATGTGGCCAACGAAGACGAAGTCAAGGAGATAACCTTTGATCTTCAAGTCAAGGGTAAGATACATGCCTGAAACATTATCCACTCTGGACAGACATTAGATGGGATCACTATTCAGTCATTTTTCTTTATTGAGTTATCATGTTGGAATGTAAAGGATGTTGAACTGTTTCTTCTATTGATAAAAAAATCAACTACACTGAACAAAAATGTAAACGCAACATGCAACAATTTCCAAGATTTTATTGAGTAACAGTTCATATAATGAAAATAAATAAATTAGGCCCTAATCTATGGATTTCACATGATTGGGAATACAGATCTGCATCTGTCGGTCACAGATACCTTAAAAGAAAAGGTAGGGACGTGAATCAGAAAACCAGTCAGTATCTGGTGTGACCACCATTTGCCTCATGCAGCGCGACATCTCCTTCGCATAGAGTTGATCAGGCTGTTGATTGTGGCCTGTGGAATGTCGTCCCACTACTCTTCAATGGCTGTGCGAAGTTGCTGGATATCGGCGGGAACTGGAACACATTGTTGTACACGTCGATCCAGAGTATCCCAAACACGCTCAATGGGTGACATGTCTGGTGAGTATGCAGGCCATGGAAGAACTGTGACATTTTCAGCTTCCAGGAATTGTGTACAGATCCTTGCGACATGGGGCCATGCAATATCATGCTGAAACATGAGGTGATGGTGGCGGATGAATGGCACGACAATGGACCCCAGGATTTCGTCACTGTTTCGCTGTGCATTCAAATTGCCATCGATAAAATGCAATTGTGTTCATTGCTTATGCCTACCCATACCATAACCCCACCGCCACTATGGGGAACTCTGTTCACAATGTTGAAATCATCAAACCGCTCGCCCACACAACACCGCAAAAAGCACACTTCTCCAGCGAGCCAGTGGCCATCGAAGGTGAGCATTTGCCCACGTAAGTCGGTTACGAACTGCAGTCAGGTCAAGACCCTGGTGAGGACGACGAGCACGCAGATGAGCTTCCCCGAGACTTCCCCCCCACAGTTTCATCAGCTGTCCGGGTGGCTGGTCTCAGACGATCCCGCAGGTGAAGAAGCCAGATGTGGAGGTCCTGGGCTGGCGTGGTTACACGTGGTCTGGGGTTGTGAGGCCAAATTCTCTAAAACGATGTTGGAGGCAGCTTATGGCAGAGAAATGAACATTAAATTCTCTGGCAACAACTCTGTTGGACATTCCTGCAGTCAGCATGCCAATTGCACGCTCCCTCAAAACTTGAGACATATGTGACATTGTGTTGTGTGACAAAACTGCAGTGGCCTTTTATTGTCCCCAGTACAAGGTTCTTTATATGCCACACCTGTCAGGTGGATGGATTATCATGGCAAAGGAAAAATGCTCACTAACAGGGATGTAAACAAATTTGTGCCCCAAAAATTGAGAGAAATAAGCTTTTTGTGAGTATGGAACATTTCAGCTCATGAAAGATGGGACCAACACTTTACATGTTGCATTTATATTGTTGTTCAGTGTATCTATGTTTCACTACCTTTCACTGTCTCATGGGAAATTTCCACTCCCTGCAGCTCCCCCGAAGATAATAGATCTGTCTGACCAGCACATGGACCAGGGCCACGGTGTACTCTGTGTCACAGAGGGGGTCCCCACACCCACCATTCACTGGTACAGCTGTGAAAGCATTGGAAAGTAAGGGAACAGACCGCTGGAAATACTGACCAACACAATGAAGCATATTCCGCCACTTCAGTTGTGTTTTGACTTTTACTCTCAATCTGCAGAGGTAGAGGGCAGCGTTACAATAGGATCACACAGTTGAGTGATATTTGTTGGACCTGTTGCTTATTTTGGACTCTCAATAGTCTATAGCAGTTTTTGTCAGTCACCCAATATCTCACTCAGACAGAAAGTCTCACGAACTGAACAAGCATATATTCTATCACCATCAAGCTAATCCACAATGATGACCTCTTCACCCAGATGCAGTAATAAGACCACAGCATGGAAGCCTCTGTCGGCTGACCCAGAGAACGTCAGCATCCAGATGAATGTGAGCTACATCGAGGCCTCAGGGGTCAACCACGTCCGCAGCCTTTTGACCTTCCAGACCATGGGGAGTATTACGTCAGTGCGCTGTGAAGCCCGCAACGAGAAAGGACGCAGGGCCTGGGACATCAAACTAGTCTCCAACTGTAAGCACTCAACATTGACTAAAGTCCACTTTATGCTTGCATGACTATGACATACACTACTGGTCAAAAGTTTTAGAACACCTATTTATTCAAGGGTTTTTCTTTATTTTTTACTATTTTCTACATTGTAGAATAATAGTGAAGACATCAGAACTATGAAATAACACATGTGGAATCATGTAGTAACCAACAAAGTGTTAAACAAGTCAAAATATATGTTATATTGGAGATTCTTCAAATAGCCACCCTTTGCCTTGATGACGGCTTTGCACACTCTTATCATTCTCTCAACCAGCTTCACCCGGAATGCTTTTCCAACAGTCTTGAAGGAGTTCCCACATATGCTGAGCACTTGTTGGCCTTCACTCTGTGGTCCGACTCATCCCAAACCATCTCAATTTGGTTGAGGTCGGGGGATTGTGGAGGCCAGGTCATCTGATGCAGCACTCCATCACCCTCCTTCTTGGTAAAATAGCCCTTACACAGCCTGAAGGTGTGTTGGGTTATTGTCCTGTTGAAAAACAAATTATAGTCCCACTAAGCCCAAACCAGATGGGAAGGCATATTGCTGCAGAATTCTGTGGTAGCCATGCAGGTTAAGTGTGCCTTGAATTGTAAATAAATCACAGACAATGTCACCAGCAAAGCACCCCCACACCATAACACCTCCTCCTCCATGCTTTATGGTGGGAAATACACATGTGGAGATAATCCGTTCACCCACACCGCGTCTCACAAAGACACAGCGGTTGGAACCAAAAATCTCCAATTTGGACACATTTCCACCGGTCTAATGTCCATTGCTCGTGTTTCTTGGCCCAAGCAAGTCTCTTCTTCTTATTGGTGTCCTTTACTAGTGGTTTCTTTGCAGCAATTAGATCATGAAGGCCTGATTCACACAGTCCCCTCTGAACAGTTGATGTTGAGCTGTGTCTGTTACTTGAACTCTGTGAAGCATTTATTTGGGCTGCAATTTCTGAGGCTGGTAATTCTAATGAACTTATCCTCTGCAGCAGAGGTAACTCTGGGTCTTCCATTCCTGTGGCGGTCCTCATGACAGCCAGTTTCATCATAGCGCTTGATGGTTTTGGCGACTTCACTTGAAGAAACTTTCAAAGTTCTTGAAGTTTTCCGTATTGACTGACCTTCATGTTTTAAAGTGTTTTTTTATTTCACCTTTATTTAACCAGGTAAGCCAGTTGAGAACAAGTTCTCATTTACAACTGCGACCTGGCCAAGATAAAGCAAAGTAGTGCGATAAAAACAACAACACAGAGTTACATATGGGGTAAAACAAAACATAAAGTCAAAAATACAACAGAAAATATATATACAGTGTGTGCAAATGTAGCAAGTTATGGAGGTAAGGCAATAAATAGGCCATAGTGCAAAATAATTACAATTAGAATTAACACTGGAATGATAGATGTGCAAGAGATGATGTGCAAATAGAGATACTGGCGTGCAAATAAGCAAAATAAATAACAATATGGGGATGAGGTAGTTGGGTGGGTTAATTTCAGATGGGCTGTGTACAGGTGCAGTAATCGGTAAAGTGCTCTGACAACTGATGCTTAAAGTTAGTGAGGGAGATAAGAGTCTCCAGCTTCAGAGATTTTTGCAGTTCGTTCCAGTCATTGGCAGCAGAGAACTGGAAGGAATGGCGGCCAAAGGAGGTTTTGGCTTTGGGGATGACCAGTGAGATATACCTGCTGGAGCGCATACTACGGGTGGGTGTTGCTATGGTGACCAATGAGCTAAGATAAGGCGGGGATTTGCCTAGCAGTGATTTATAGATGGCCTGGAGCCAGTGGGTTTGGCGACGAATATGTAGTGAGGGCCAGCCAACAAGAGCATACAGGTCACAGTAGTGGGTAGTATATGGGGCTTTGGTGACAAAACAGATGGCACTGTGATAGACTGCATCCAATTTGCTGAGTGTTGGAGGCTATTTTGTAAATGACATCGCCGAAGTCAAGGATCGGTAGGATTGTCAGTTTTACGAGGGCATGTTTGGCAGCATGAGTGAAGGAGGCTTTGTTGCGAAATAGGAAGCCGATTCTAGATTTAACTTTGGATTGGAGATGCTTAATGTGAGTCTGGAAGGAGAGTTTACAGTCTAACCAGACACCTAGGTATTTGTAGTTGTCCACATACTCTAGGTCAGACCAGTCGAGAGTAGTGATTCTAGTCGGGTGGGCGGGTGCCAGCAGCATTCGATTGAAGAGCATGCATTTAGTTCTACTTGTGTTTAAGAGCAGTTGGAGGCTACTGAAGGAGTGTTGTATGGACTGTCGTTTCTCTTTGTTTATTTGAGCTGTTCTTGCCAGAATATGGACTTGGTATTTTACCAAATAGGGCTATCTTCTGTATACCACCCTACCTTGTCACAACACAACTGATTGGCTCAAATGCATTAAGAAGGAAAGAAATTCCACAAATTAACTTTTAAGAAAGCACACCTGTTAATTGAAATGCATTCCAGGTGACTACCTCATGAAGCTGGTTGAGAGAATGCCAAGAGTGTGCAAAGCTGTCATCAAGGCAAAGGGTGGCTATTTGAAGAACCTCAAATATAACACTTTTTTGTTTACTACATGATTCCATTTGTGTTATTTCATAGTTTTGATGTCTTCACTATTATTCTACAATGTAAAAAATAGTGAAAAATAAAGAAAAACCCTTGAATTAGTAGGTGTTCTAAAACGTTTGACCGAGTGTATATGCAAATAAGCAATAAGTATTTACAGTAACTCTCAACAACTGACGTAAAATATAAACTTTTGATTCCTTTTGATTAACTGATAACAATACTCCTTCAAATCAAATCACAATTTATTTAAAGTGCATTGATCAAAAGTCTCAATACACTTTACAGACACGTTTATAAAAAATAAAATCATATAAATGTAATATAAATATATTATATTATTATATCAATGTATTAGTCTTTGACTAAGACTTTGACTAACAGAGTATGAATAAGGATCACTGAGGTTGTCCTCTTGTGTGAGCTCCTTCTCTGTGTGTGTGTCTGCAGCTCTGTTCTCCCAGGTGGCTGTCTTGGCTGCAGTGTTAACCCTGGTGGTCATCGCCGTCATCTTCCTCATCATCCTCATCGCCCTCTGGAGAAAGGTGACGCCCAAACAGAAACCCATCACCTTCCCATCACATTTGTCTTGATAGTGATGCTACTGTTGAAAGATGAGACTGTAAAATTAGCGAGGACTACAATAATTGACTGGAGCCTGGCCAGTAGGTCTTAAATCATGTGGAACTGCTACTTAAGTCACAGCCTTGCCTGGCATAACAAACTTTTGTGTGGGTGGGGAGGAGGGTGATGTTATTCTATTTTTGTTACATTAATTAGATTTTATGTATTTATGTATTTTTGTGGAAGCAGCAGCTTCCATTGTCCAAGACAAATTTCCCCTTGGGGACAATAAAGTATAATACTGTATATATCATATATAAAACTCTGACAGCCTTTTGTATCTGCCATTAGAAGCCCCGGTATGAGATCCGTTGGAAGGTGATCGAGTCAGTGAGCTCAGATGGCCATGCGTACACCTACATGGACCCCATGGACTTGCCATATGACTGTGCATGGGAGGTGCCCCGAGACAACCTGGTCCTGGGTGAGTGGCTATTATAACACAAGGAATGTTTTGGTATAATTGTGTGAATACTGTAGCCTATTTATAAATCATAATGCATTGATATATTTCACATTAGCTAAGCTAACAGTACACCTCATTTTCTGTCGTACCAGGTCACACTCTGGGTTCTGGAGCGTTCGGGAGGGTCGTGGAGGCCACAACATATGGCCTTGGTCACTCCCAGTCCACCACCAAAGTGGCTGTGAAGATGCTCAAGTGTGAGTGCTTTATGCTTTACTATTACCAACAACTTGACATTTCCTCCATTTTACACACAAACCACTGACCTCGTTACTCATTACCATGAGAAAATATTGCAACGCTGCGTGTTCTGCTATTGCTTTTGACTGACAGCCACAGCAAGGACAAGTGAGACTCGGGCTCTGATATCAGAGCTGAAGATAATGAGTCACCTTGGGCCCCATCTAAACATCGTCAACCTACTGGGGGCCTGTACTAAACGAGGTGGGAACTGGAAAGCATACCACTGCTTATAGACTTAACATGTTCCGATATGTTAGTCAAAGTGTATGTTAACAACTGCCCCCTTTTCTCTGCCCTGAAGGTCCTATTTACCTCATAACTGAGTACTGTCGCTATGGTGACCTGGTTGACTACCTTCACCGCAACAAGCACACCTTCCTGCAGTACTACGCAGACAGAAACCGCAGGGATGCTGATATGTGCAGGAACAGCACAGAGAGTGCAGTCCAAATCCAAGGAAAAAGGCAAGACTGATGCCTTCTGAAGTACACACTACTGATTTTACATTGCAAAGTCACCCATCAACATTCAATGTTTAGTTGCAATGGAAAATGGATTCAGAGGCCTATGCTTTCTCTAAATCAAAGATGTACTATCACTTATTGTAAAAAAAAATGTGCACTTGGTTTTTGACAGTGAGAGCGATGGGGGTTACATGGATATGACCAAGGAAGATTCTTTAAATTATGTCCCCATGCAAGAGCTGAGCGACAACATCAAGTATGCAGACATCGAGCCTTCAGTCTATGAGACGCCTTACCATCAGGACAACAACTACCAAAGACAAGGTACATTTTTGTATACATTATCCACTGGGCACACACTGGTTGAATCAACGTTGTTTCCACGTCATTTGAACCAATGTGGAATAGACGTTGAATTGACATCTGTGCTCAGTGGGTACATTCTACCAGGGGTTGGAACCGGTTCAGGGAAAAGAACCGAAAACCAGAAAATAACGAACAGAATCAGAACCAGGCCCTAAAGGCGCGGACTGCGACCGCGCCTCAACTAACCAAAACAGGGGAGGGCTGGGCGGGCATACCTCCTCGGTGGCGGTTCTGGCTCCGGCCTTGATCCCCACCTCCTCTCCAACCCCCCAAAGTACCCCTGGTCCTGTCTAGCCCCGCCGGCCGGAGCCAGACTGACGACACGCGCCCCTGGCTTGGTGCGTGGAGGACGAACGGGCCTTACCAGGCTGACGACGCGCACCACTGCCTTGGCGCGGGGAGCAGGAATGGGCCGGACCGGGCTGATGAAGCGCACCCCTGACTTGGTGCGGAGAGCGGGACCGGACCGGACAGGGCTGACGAAACGCACCACCAACTTGGTGCGTGGAGCAGGAACAGGTCGGGCAGGGCTGTCGACGCACACCGTAGACCTAGTGCGTGGAGCAGGAACAGGCCGGGCTGGGCTGGCGACGCACACCGTAGTTCTAGTGCGTGGAGCAGGAACAGGCCGGGCTGGGCTGGCGACGCACACCGTAGTTCTAGTGCGTGGAGCAGGAACAGGCCGGGCTGGGCTGGCGACGCACACCGTAGTTCTAGTGCGTGGAGCAGGAACAGGCCGGGCTGGGCTGGCGACGCACACCGTAGTTCTAGTGCGTGGAGCAGGAACAGGCCGGGCTGGGCCGGCGACGCACACCGTAGTTCTAGTGCGTGGAGCAGGAACAGGCCGGGCTGGGCTGGCGACGCACACCGTAGTTCTAGTGCGTGGAGCAGGAACAGGCCGGGCTGGGCTGGCGACGCACACCGTAGTTCTAGTGCGTGGAGCAGGAACAGGCCGGGCTGGGCTGGCGACACACACCGTAGTTCTAGTGCGTGGAGCAGGAACAGGCCGGGCTGGGCTGGCGACGCACACCGTAGTTCTAGTGCGTGGAGCAGGAACAGGCCGGGCTGGGCTGGCGACGCACACCGTAGTTCTAGTGCGTGGAGCAGGAACAGGCCGGGCTGGGCTGTGGAGACGGATAGGAGACCTAGAGCGAAGAGCGGCCACCACCCGTCCTGGCTGGATGCCTACCCTCACACACTCTGCGTGAGGCATCCGCACAGGACGTACAGGGCTGTGAACCCGTACCGACATGACAGCACGCGATACGGGAGCAGGATATCCGGGACCGCGGAGAGGCACTGGAGACCTCGAGCGTAGATCCGGCACACTCCGTCCTGGCTGCATCCCCCCCTTCGCACGACACGTGCGGGGTGCTTGCACAGGACGTACAGGACTGTGCCGGACCACTCGTGGCACAGTACGCTGCTCCGCATACCGCGGAACCTGCCCCGTCCCACGCTGCCATGCCTGAGTACGGGAAGTTGGTTCCGCTCTACCTCCAGGCCTCGCCAACCTGCCTTCTGCCTCCCAACACCCGGTGACCACCTCTCCAAAACGTCCTGTAGCAGCCGCCTGCTGCCCAGCCGCCCAAGCCATGTGCCCCCCCAAAAAAATTTCTTGGGGTTGCCTCTCGTCCTTCCGACGATGGCCCTGCTGCCGCCGTTGCTCCTCTCTCGCCAGGGCCTTGATCCTCCCCCAAGGTCCCTTGCCCCCGAACATGTCCTCCCAGGACCACGATTTGCCCACCTGGGCCATCGCCAGCCTCTCGATCTCCTTACCCGGCGCTTCCTCCCATGTCCAATCTCCTTGCTCCTGGACACGCTGCTTGGTCTTTTTGTGGTGGGTTTTTCTGTCACGATCGTCGTAGGAGTGAGTAGACCAAGGCGCAGCGTGTGAAACAAACATGACTTTATTACGTTAAAGTAATCCAAACACGACTCGTGAAGTCCAAAACGGTACACTAACCGAACACGGAACAAAAACCCACAACACCCACAGGAAAACATACAGATTACATATGGCTCCCAATCAGAGATAACGAGCCGACAGCTGACACTCGTTACCTCCGATTGGGAGTCATTGACCAAACATAGAAATAAACCCAACAGAAATACAAACATAGAAAATGAACACATAGAATGCACACACCCTGGCTCAACATAATGAGTCCCAGAGCCAGGGTGTGACAGAATGAAAGTAATATATAATTTTCTGGAACAGAACTGTTATTTTAAAAACATGGGAACCGGTTAATAACATTATTTTACATTCTGGCCATTTTTTTCCAGTCCCACAAAAAACGCAACAAAGAGCCTATCCAAAGCCCTCCCTCTGTCAATCAGAAACTTTATTATAGAAGAATGGATTAACTTTTTCAATGCTAGTTAGGGATTCTATAGTTATCACATTTCACATTGGACTTATTAACTACGAAAAGGTAAGATGTGCTTTTAATCCAGGTGCCGCTCTGCACACACAAGCTTGTTAGCTAGCTAGCTAGCTCTGGTCCAATGTTAAGCCAACTCTGAAGTTCAAAGACATTCAAAGTTGTCCTCTGTAGCTCAGCTGGTAGAGCACGGCACTTGTAACGCCAAGGTAGTGGGTTCGATCCCCGGGACCACCCATACACAAAAATGTATGCACGCATGACTGTAAGTCGCTTTGGATAAAAGCGTCTGCTAAATGGCATATTTATTTATTTAAAAGTTCCTCTATAGAAACCACTCCTCCAGGTATAATTCTGTGGGCCTAATTCCGATAATGCATGTCATCACAAGATGCCCAGCACTTCATGCCAAGCCTCCTCCTCCTTCACCCTCTCTTGCGCTCTTCCCACCAGCAAAGTTTTTAATTGCATCTCGTGCCCTACACTTGTATTTCTATCACGCATGTAAACAACTCACTGAGCTATAGTTTTCCCGCTCCATAGCAAGCTGCTCTATCCGCACTGTATGATTGGTGAAGTAATTGAAATGTTAAAAAATTATGATTTCAGAGGTTTAAGAAGGAACAGAAAGGAACAACATATACCGGTACTTTTTTGGGTGTTTGAACCGGTTCCAAACTTTATTTTGCTGGTTGGAACAGTGGAATGGAATAAAAATAATAATGGTTATGTTCAAAATGAACCGATTGGAAACGTATTTCCATTTCAACCCCTGCTTTCTACAATGAAATAGGGTGTGTCTGAATTGGCACCCTATTCCCTATATAATGCACTAATTTTGACCAGAGCTCTATGGGCCCTGGTCAAAAGTACTGCTAGTGCTCTGGTCCAAAGTAGTGCACTATATAGGGAATAGGGCGCCAATTCAGACACAGCCATACACTTTTTAATTGATTTAAGCAATATAAATACTGAAGGCATGAAACACTTGGTTGTTCATCATGTATTATGGTAAGCAGCAGCAAACAATGGTTATCCTCACCATGCTTTAGTGTGTTGAAGACATTTCAACATTTCTGTCAGGCAGATGGTGAGCAGACAGACCCCTGATGTTGAAATACTACTGGAGACCAAAATAGGGAAGCCGCTCTCCACTTAGAGTTTTGACACGCAAGCAGCTTCCAGAATTTTTTTTCAACCTCTTGTGTAACCAGACAATGCCTTTTAACACTGTTCTTTTGATCAACACCATTCAGTTGATCATTTGTTTGCATAGTCACAGTTTATGACAATTTCATGTTCTCTTTTCATGTTGCTCAGGCCAAGAGAGAGCAGACGTCGCGTTGTCTATCAGTGACTCCCCAATTCTGAGCTACACAGATCTGGTGGGCTTTAGCTACCAAGTGGCTAAGGGCATGGACTTTCTGGCATCCAAGAATGTATGACTATGGAAAGCTTCATAATACATCCTTATTCACATCATGTCATGAAATGTCATGCCATGTCACATCAAACATTAATTAATTATTGAGAACATGTGGAAATTACCTTACTGAACCCACGTGAACTTCAATAACAGTCTAAACTGTTGTCCCTGTCCTCACAGTGTGTTCATCGTGACCTGGCTGCCAGAAACGTTCTCATCTGTGAGGGAAAGCTGGTGAAGATCTGTGACTTTGGCCTGGCCCGTGATGTCATGAACGACTCCAACTACATAGCCAAAGGCAACGTGAGTTCATTTGTTTCGTTTTGGTTGTTGTGTATTTGTTTACAGGCCATTCAAACATGTGTAGTAAGTAAGGAAGGGGAAGAAACAACCAAACAGTCATTATGTTAGGAGGTGAAAGTGATAGAAACTGAAATACAATTTTTTATAAGGAACTTCCAGAGATGTGGTTTAATATGACCCACTTATGCAAACGATCTGACCGACAACACTGTAATATTTAAATGGTTTTAGCTCCTTTTTCCCTTAACAGACTGCTGTATTTCTGGTTAATTCTGTACATCCTGAGAGTAAAATATGTTTTAGGTTAAAAAGCTGGCACAGGCGCCATTTTTAGGGTTTTTAAATGCTAAAACTTCCCACTAGGGTGAAGTTGTTTTTGCCAAAAATGTGGTTGAGTTATTGGATATGTGGGCTGCAGACTCTTTCCACTGGGGTTTTCTTGGCTTTTGGCTTTTTTGGTCTAAGATCAGAAGAGGATGTGAAACAGCTTTCCAAAAGTCATTATGTTATAGATGGTACAGGTCAGAATACCAAAACAATGTCAATTTTCGTCACTGTACCAAAAGCAGAAGGCTATTTTCCATAATTACATCTGTAATTCTGTATTGCAACTGTCATTACCTAAAATGGGTTACCTACAGTATGTCTCTGATATTGTAGACATTCCTGCCACTGAAGTGGATGGCTCCAGAGAGTATCTTCCAGAACCTCTACACAACCTTGAGCGATGTTTGGTCTTTTGGCATTCTGCTTTCAGAGATCTTTACTCTAGGTAAATACAAAAGTCTCTGCATAGAAAATATGTGTTTTGATTCTTTACTTATTGCAACTAGAGATAATATCTATGAATGTATGTCTTGATACTAGTTACAGTGCAATTGGAAAGTATTCAGACCCCTTGAATATTTCCACATTTTGTTATGTTACAGCCTTATTCTAAAATGGATTAAATATTTTTTTATCTACACACAATACCCCATAATGACAAAGCAAAAACAGGTTTTTAGACATTTTTGCAAATGTATTACAAATAAATAAACAGAAATATCTTATTTACATAAGTATTCAGACCCTTTACTCAGAACTTTCATTACAGCCTTGAGTCTTCTTGGATATGACCTACAAGCTTGGCACATCTGTATTTGGGGAGTTTCTCCCATTCTTCTCTGCAGACCCTCTCAAGCTCTGTCAGGTTGGATGGGAGCATCGCTGCACAGCTATTTTCAGGTCTCTCCAAAAGATGTTCGATCAGGTTCAAGTCCGGGCTCTGGCTGGGCCACTCAAGGACATTCAGAGACTTGTCCCGTAGCCATTCCTGCGCTGTCTTGGCTGTTTGCTTAGGGTCGTTGTCCTGTTGGAAGGTGAACCTTCACCCCAGTCTGAGGTCCTGAGCGCTCTGTAGCAGGTTTTCATCAAGGATCTCTCTGTACTTTGCTCCGTTCATCTTTCCCTTGATCCTGACTAGTCTCCCAGTCCTGCCGCTGAAAAACATCTCCACAGCATGATAATACTACCACCATGCTTCACCGTAGGGATGGTGCCAGGTTACCTCCAGACGTGACGCTTGGCATTCATGCCAATGAGTTCAATCTTGCTTTCATCAGACCAGAGAATGTTGTTTCTCATGGTCTGAGAGTCCTTTAGGTGCCTTTTGGCAAACTCCAAGCGGGCTGTCATGTTCCTTTTGCTGAGGAGTGGCTTCCGTCTGGCCACTCTACCATAACGACCTGATTGGTGGAGTGCTGCAGAGATGGTTGGTCCTTCTTGAAGGTTCTCCCATCGCCACAGAGGAACTCTGGAACTCTGTCAGAGTGACCATCGGGTTCTTGGTCACCTCCCTGACCAAGGCCCTTCTCCCCCGATTGCTCAGTTTGGCCTGGCGGCCAGCTATAGGAAGAGTCTTGGTGGTTCCAAACTTCTTCAATTTAAGAATGATGGAGGCCACTATGATGGAGACCTTCAATGCTGCAGACATTTTTTGGTACCCCAGATCTGTGCCTCAACACAATCCTGTCTCGGAGCTTTATGGACAATTCCTTCGACCTTATGGCTTGGTTTTTGCTCTGACATGCACTGTCAACTGTGGGACCTTATATAGACAGGTGTGTGCCTTTCCAAATCATGTCCAATAAATTGAATTTACCACAGGTGGACTCCAATCAAGTTGTAGAAACATCTCAAGGATGATCAATGGAAACAGGATGCACCTGAGCTCAATTTCGAGTCTCATAGCAAAGGTTCTGAATACTTATGTAAATAAGGTATTTCAGTTTTTTTATTTTTAATACATTTGCAAAAATGTCTAAAAACCAGTTTTCACTTTGTCATTATGGGGTATATTGTGTAGATGGATGAGAATATTTTTTAAAATCCATTTTAGAATAAGGCTGTAATGTAACAAAATGTGGAAAAAGTCAAGGGGTCTGAATACTTTCTGAATGCACTGTATATACTTTGTTTCGGCCTACCTTCAGGAGGAACGCCCTATCCTGACATTCCCATGAATGAACAGTTCTACACTGCCTTGAAGAGAGGCTACAGGATGCCCAAACCCACTCATGCTACAGACGAGATGTGAGGCCTCATCTGTCTCTCTTTGTCTGTAGGAGTTTTTGTGGTTGTATGTAAAATAACCACTGGTGAAATTCAATCTACATTTAATTTGTTTCTTTCAGCTATGATGTCATGTGCAAGTGTTGGGATGAGAAATTTGAGAAGAGGCCACCGTTCTCCTCTCTGGTTCATTTGATGGGAAACCTGCTGACTGACGTTTACAAAAAGGTACAGAAAACTAGAATAATCCTCAACATTATGGCTATGATTATGTTGATTGCTCATGTATTAATATCTACATATAATTTCCAAACCGCCCCAGAAATACACCCAGGTGAATGAGAGCTTTCTGAAGAGCGACAGGTCCAAACCCACACCAGTAGGGAACCCGGCTGTGTCTCCAGATGTCCAGTCCTCAGGGGACCGAGCAGGGCAGGAGACAGAGGAGACAGAGGAGACAGGGGAGATAGGGGAGACTGGGAAGGAGGCTGGCCCCTCCCAGACTGACTACATAATCGCCATCCCAGATATCCATGTAGTCGAAGAGGCAGAAGCAAGTGGTGAGGTGCTGGACACCGCCACACAGAGTACATCAAGGTAACGTAGGATCTTCTCTCCACAGAATATGTCTCTTGTCTGTCAACTCTGTGGCTGTCTGTTTGCCACAGGAAGAGTGTGACTGCGTGGGTCAAAGGCAGCATTTGAGGATTTCCCAATTCTGCACTGCCTTATGTCATGTGTAGGGTTGCAAAATTCCTGGAACTTTCAATAAATTCCCTGGTTGGAGGATTCCCAGAATCTGGAGGGAATAAGCAGGAAATTCGGAATCCTCCTTCCAGGAATTTATTGAATGTTCCCAGAATTTTGCAACCCTAGTCAAGCTTCTTTCAAAGCTTTTCTGATGTTGGGTTTTTGTTTCTTGCTTATTGTTATTCATAATTGGCAGTTGACACTAAGTCTTTGATAATGCCATTGTATCGATTTTACTCTGACATTAATAAAGCAGTAATAAAGTAAAACCAATCTTTGTTCTACCTTGTTAGTCCTCCAAGCACAACGGACCAGACCGATACTGACACAGCCTCCCTAAATGGGCCAGAAGCCTCCCTAGAAGAACCAGTACCCACAGAGGAAGAGGTGCCTGCCCCCACGCAAGAAGACAAGCTCCCCCAGTCTCCATGTACCCCTGAAGTGGAGGAGAGTTTCCTGTAGCCTCATTAGAGAGCAGATGTTAGAGGTGCCTACTGTACAGGACAATGTTGCACATGACAATGTATGTTGTTAGTTAAACACTAATGTTGTAGGCCCTTTTAGGAAACATTATATCGTTATTATTTTTGTATATTGGTGATATACTATATATCTTTCAGGTACTTTTTCCCTTTTAATGCTATGATTTTAAAAAAACAGCATCAGCAGTTTGACAAATGGCAATGGAAATGGTAATATTATATGCAATTTTAATCTAATTGATGTTGTCAAACTGTAAAGAAAAGTATATTTGGTGAGGGAATACATTTAATTACAATCATTTATAAAATAATTTAAAAGAGAATGTAGGCTTGCAGTAATGCACCTCTTATATTTGCATTTCTCATTCTCAATTTGAGACAAAATTATGTTTTGAAAAAGTGATCAAATATATTTTAGCATACATTTTGGGACTTTTAAATGAATGATATATATCCCCATTGATTCTTGAAAATATATCTTATAAATGCCAGCTTAGCTCAACTGTCATACCCCATCAGAACCCAAAATATAAGCTTGTTTTACTCCACTGTTTGTGTACAATGTAATTGTACACAAACACTGTATAGCCTCGAAACATAGGCCTAGATTCAATCAGATCAAGCGTTAACCGGCGATAGCAGACAGCTGCATGGCGGATGTTTTGGCGGTGTTGGAGCTGGAACTGCGTTGGAGCCATCAAATCAGTCAGCAGTTGCTCTTGCGATCATTGTCACGAAGCCACACCCGCCCCACTCGCGTTAGAAGTTCAGAACAAGAAAAGTGTAGGCTATCTAGATCATAAAAGGGTTCTTCAGCTGTCCCAATAGGAGAACCCTTTGAACAACCATTTTTGGTTTCAGGTAGAACCCTTTTTTGTCATTAATATTCCATTCACCCAGCTCAATGTAACATTGATAAGTTTAGGCTACTAGATGTTACTCAAATTTTCCCTATACCCATCATGAGGTTGTTATAACCTAGCCTATGAATGAGTTTACAACGTAGGTGCAAAGGTAGAGAGAAATTTGAGTAACCAAGGTGACAGACATTGACACATTCAACTGCCTTGCACAATCTTGCCTGCATCTAGCTGATCTAGGGATGTAATCATTAGTCCAACAGTTGCAAAAGAGAGTTTCTATTGGACAAATTCAGGTATGTTTATCCCCGTTTAGTTCCGTTTGCTTCCGTTTAAGAAACATTTTTCAACCGAATCGGCGGAATGAATACACCCCTGACCACACTCAAACACAGTTCACTTTCATAGCAGCCACATACAAACAGCATGATTCATTTGATCGTTGTATAATTCCTCTTTGCATCTACTCCTCTCACCTTTTCCCTTCGCTTGTGGACTTCAGTGCACAACACATAGGCTGTCTGTGACCAGGCGAAAAAACCTTTCCAAGCCAAACCTTCATATCATAACCGCTAACCGCTACACATAGCCTACATCTTTGTCACCATATTATCTAACGTCAAGTCAACATAACTACTAGAACTAATGCGTTAGTAAAGCCCCTACAATGCAGCACAGTGTACAGATAGCAAGCAGTTTAGCAGTTAGATTGGCGGGCCCCGGTGGCAATAAATTAATCAAACCAAAAGCTTACCTTGACTTGGAAGAGTTCCAGTGTTGGATAGCCATAGTCAGCTAGGTAACATAGCATCCCTCTCTGTTTTAGCCGAGTGTTTGAGTAGGCTAAACTAGATAGCTGCATTCCCTAGCTAAGTAAGTGAAAGTGAAAAAAATACTCAATATTTACAAAACAGTTCAACTATTGTCTTTCTCTCTCTTTGAGTCAACTACTCACCACATTTTATGCACTGCAGTGCTAGCTAGCCATAGCTTATGCTTTCAGTACTAGATTCATTCTCTGATCCTTTGATTGGGTGGACAACATGTCAGTTCATGCTGCAAGAACTCTGATAAGTTAGAGGACATCCTCCGGAAGTTGTCATAATTACTGTGTAAGTCTATGGAAGGGGGTGAGAACCACGAGTCTCCTAGGTTTTGTATAGAAGTCAATGTCCCCAGAGGAGGACGGACACTAGCTGTCCTCCGGCTACACCATGGTGTTAACCTACAGAGTGCTGTTGAGGCTACTGTAGACCTTCATTGCAAAACAGTGGGTTTTAAACAACTGTTTGGTGACGTGAATATATTTAGTATAGTTTTATCTAAAAAGGATAACTTTCATAATGTTTCAATATTTTTTTTCCTTCTGAAATTCACTGAGGAGGATGGTACTCTGAGGAGCCTCTACTGCTTTCCACAGAGGGTTCTACATGGAGCCCAATAGAGTTCTACCAGGAACCAAAAAATTTTATACCTGGAACCAAAAAGGGTTATCCTATGGGGACAGCCGAAAAACCCTTTTGAACCCTTTTTTCTAAGAGTGTATATAGAAATAATTACGCCTAAATGGAAAAATCATTAAACTAAATAGAGGATTTCTATTATCCTAATTGAGTTGTAGATTATATCTCACATTCCAGTGTTCGCACGGGATTTCTCTTAATTTGACTCCGTGCAGCCGATGGCAATGTCCACTTTAGGTATAATGCCAGGAGCCGCTTGTGGATTTGACAGCTCTAATGTGTCCACATGCAGTGAGGGAAAAAAGTATTTGTTCCCCTGCTGATTTTGTACGTTTGCCCACTGACAAAGACATGATCAGTCTATCCTTTTAATGGTAGGTTTATTTGAGGTCAGACGTTTCTTTAAGTTGGCCACCAGGTTTGCACACATCTCAGGAGGGATTTTGTTCCACTCCTCTTTGCAGATCTTCTCCAAGTCATTAAGGTTTCGAGGCTGACGTTTGGCAACTCGAACCTTCAGCTCCCTCCACAGATTTTCTATGGGATTAAGGTCTGGAGACTGGCTAGGCCACTGCAGGACCCTAATGTGCTTCTTCTTGAGCCACTCCTTTGTTGCCTTGGCCGTGTGTTTTGGGTCATTGTCATGCTGAAATACCTATCCACGACCCATTTTCAATGCTCTGGCTGAGGGAAGGAGGTTCTCACCCAAGATTTGACGGTACATGGCCCCGTCCATCGTCCCTTTGATGCGGTGAAGTTGTCCTGTCCCCTTAGCAGAAAAACACCCCCAAAGCATAATGTTTCCACCTCCATGTTTGACAGTGGGGATGGTGTTCTTGGGGTCATAGGCAGCATTCCTCCTCTTCCAAACACGGCGAGTTGAGTTGATGCCAAAGAGCTCGATTTTGGTCTCATCTGACCACAACACTTTCACCCAGTTCTCCTCTGAATCATTCAGATGTTCATTGGCAAACTTCAGACGGGCCTGTATATGTGCTTTCTTGAGCAAGGGGACCTTGCGGGCGCTGCAGGATTTCAGTCCTTCACGGCGTAGTGTGTTACCAATTGTTTTCTTGGTGACTTATCCCAGCTGCCTTGAGATCATTGACAAGATCCTCCCGTGTAGTTCTGGGCTGATTCCTCACCGTTCTCATGATCATTGCAATTCCACAAGGTGAGATCTTGCATGGAGCCCCAGTCCGAGGGAGATTGACAGTTATTTTGTGTTTCTTCCATTTGCGAATAATCGCACCAACTGTTGTCACCTTCTCACCAAGCTGCTTGGCGATGGTCTTGTAGCCCATTCCAGCCTTGTGTAGGTCTACAATCTTGTCCCTGACATCCTTGGAGAGCTCTTTGGTCTTGGCCATGGTGGAGAGTTTGGAATCTGATTGATTGATTGCTTCTGTGGACAGGTGTATTTTATACAGGTAACAAACTGAGATTAGGAGCACTCCCTTTAAGAGTGTGCTCCTAATCTCAGCTCGTTACCTGTATAAAAGAAACCTGGGAGCCAGAAATCTTTCTGATTGGGAGGGGGTCAAATACTTATTTCCCTCATTAAAATGCAAATCAATTTATAACATTTTTGACATGCGTTTTTCTGGATTCTTTTTGTGTTATTCTGTCTCTCACTGTTCAAATACATCTACCATTAAAAATATAGACTGACCATGTCTTTGTTAGTGGGCAAACGTACAAAACCAGCAGGGGATCAAATACTTTTTTCCCTCACTGTATATAGGTTCGGTTTGCTCCTTGCAGAACTTGGCCAGGCGAAGCGAACGTCTGTGCTCGCATACTCTCTTAAAATACCTTTGCTTGAAAAAATGAGAAAAAAGCAGCAATATTAGTTGCGCAATTTTACATCTAACTAAGATGTTTGGTGCAGTATTTCTCAAATGAAAAAATGTGCATGAAAACTAGTCGCCTGTCGTTGAATGACAACGAACACTTCATTGAAGAATTCCTAGTGTTGACCAATCACCGACGAAGGGGGGTAGACTTTCGGCTACCAAACTTCGACAAGCCTCAAGAAAAAATGTTATGTACTCAAACAACCAAGTAAAACCCTGCCGAACACAAAAACGAAAAACAACGTCACACATTTCTGTCATAATACATTTTCCAAATTTTGTTACGCTACAGCCTTATTTTAAAATTGAGTAAATAGTTTTTTCCCTCATCAATCTATACACAATACCCAATAATGTAAAAGCAAAAACGTATTTAATCAATTTTAGAATAAAGCTGTAACGTAACAAAGTGTGGAAAAAGTCAAGGGGTCTGAATACTTTTCAAATGCACTGTATATGAGCAAACTGTTTAGACTGGGAAGCATATGGTAAGCTTAACGCAGTTCCACCTCCGACACTGCCAAAACAACCGCTATGTGGATGTCGGCTAAAGCAGATCTAGGTCAAACTATAATTTTGATATGATGGCTGGTCAGTCTATGACCAGTCATTTCTCCAGCCCCATCCCTCAGCTGTTTACCCAAAACAGGGGCAGGGTGACGGCTTTGTTATTGTTTGAACTGCAGATTTCCCCCTTAAGCATTACATCTCAACCCTTCCAAGGGTTCTCATGCGGTCAGGGTTGTTCCATCAGGTTTCAGTAGCATATTAAAGGTACTTATTGTTTCATCAATAGTG